CAGAAATCGAGATTATGGGAGGGGTAGGGGGAGATAAACCAGGGTTTGAGGAAGCAAAGGGTTAAAGGGTTTAAGGGGGTTTGGGTTAATAGAGCGAAAGAAGCCAGTTGGAGGTGTCAGTAGGGCTATGATTAGGGTTACAGCTAGGACTACTGCGACAGCTAGGTTAAGACTAGTGTCAGAAGTGGTCCTATGGCTAGAGTTATGGGGTCAAGTAGTTACGGGTATGGCTATATGTGTGGTTATGGTAGAGTTCAGGGGCTAGGGTTATTGCTAATGCTGCAGCTTGTGCTGGTACTGTGTTAGGGGTAGAGATAACATCAAGACTGGTAGTGCTAGTTCTAGGGCTGGTGTCAGGACAAGGGTCATTATCGAGGCTAGTGTCAAGGCTAATACTATCAGTGACAATGCTAGTGTCAGGGTTAGTGTTCGCCTTGGTTGTAATGATAGTTTATTGCAAGTGTTACTTTCAGGGTAGTATCAGTGTTAGTGTCATTGCTAGTGCAAGTGACAGGGCTAGTGCTAGTGTTAGGGCCTGTGTTAGTGACAGGGCTAGTGCTAGTGTCAGGGCCTGTGTTAGTGTCAGGGCTAGTGCTAGTGTTAGGGTCTGTGTTAGTGACAGGGCTAGTGTTAGTGACAGGGCCTGTGTTAGTGACAGGGCTAGTGTTAGTGTCAGGGCCTGTGTTAGTGACAGGGCTAGTGTTAGTGACAGGGCTAGTGCGAGTGTCAGGGCCTGTGTTAGTGACAGGGCCTGTGTTAGTGACAGGGCTAGTTAGTGACAGGGCCTGTGTTAGTGACAGGGCTAGTGCTAGTGTTAGGGCCTGTGTTAGTGACAGGGCTAGTGCTAGTGTCAGGGCCTGTGTTAGTGACAGGGCTAGTGCTAGTGTCTGCGCCTGTGTTAGTGACAGGGCTAGTGCTAGTGTCAGGGCCTGTGTTAGTGACAGGGCTAGTGTTAGTGTCAGGGCCTGTGTTAATGGCAGGGCTAGTGTTAGTGTCAGGGCTAGTGTTAGTGTCAGGGCCTGTGTTAGTGTCAGGGCTAGTGTTAGTGTCAGGGCCTGTGTTAGTAACAGGGCTAGTGCTAGTGTCAGGGCCTGTGTTAGTGACAGGGCCTGTGTTAGTGTCAGGGCCTGTGTTAGTGACAGGGCTAGTGTTAGTGACAGGGCTAGTGTTAGTGACAGGGCCTGTGTTAGTGTCAGGGCCTATGTTAGTGTCAGGGCCTGTGTTAGTGACAGGGCTAGTGCTAGTGTCAGGGCCTGTGTTAGTGACAGGGCTAGTGCTAGTGTCAGGGCCTGTGTTAGTGACAGGGCTAGTGTTAGTGACAGGGCCTGTGTTAGTGTCAGGGCTAGTGCTAGTGTCAGGGCCTGTGTTAGTGACAGGGCCTGTGCTAGTGTCAGGGCCTGTGTTAGTGACAGGGCTAGTGCTAGTGTCAGGGCCTGTGTTAGTGACAGGGCTAGTGCTAGTGTCAGGGCCTGTGTTAGTGTCAGGGCTAGTGCTAGTGTCTGCGCCTGTGTTAGTGACAGGGCAAGTGTTAGTGACAGGGCTAGTGTTAGTGACAGGGCCTGTGTTAGTGACAGGGCCTGTGTTAGTGTCAGGGCCTGTGTTAGTGACAGGGCCTGTGTTAGTGACAGGGCTAGTGTTAGTGTCAGGGCTAGTGCTAGTGACAGGGCCTGTGTTAGTGACAGGGCCTGTGTTAGTGTCAGGGCCAGTGTTAGTGACAGGGCTAGTGTTAGTGTCTGGGCCTGTGTTAGTGACAGGGCTAGTGTTAGTGTCTGGGCCTGTGTCAGTGACAGGGCTAGTGTTAGTGTCAGGGCCTGTGTTAGTGACAGGGCTAGTGTTAGTGTCAGGGCCTGTGTTAGTGACAGGGCTAGTGTTAGTGACAGGGCCTGTGTTAGTGACAGGGCTAGTGCTAGTGTCAGGGCTAGTGCTAGTGTCAAGGCCTGTGTTAGTGACAGGGCTAGTGTTAGTGGCAGGGCCTGTGTTAGTGACAGGGCTAGTGTTAGTGTCAGGGCCTGTGTTAGTGACAGGGCTAGTGCTAGTGTCTGCGCCTGTGTTAGTGACAGGGCTAGTGTTAGTGACAGGGCCTGTGTTAGTGACAGGGCTAGTGCTAGAGTCAGGGCCTGTGTTAGTGACAGGGATAGTGTTAGTGTCTGGACCTGTGTTAGTGACAGGGCTAGTGTTAGTGTCTGCGCCTGTGTAAGTATCAATCCTAACGCTCCATCTCAGCGACAGGTCCAGTGTTAGTGCCAATGCTATTGCTAGCGTCAGGGCTAGTGTTAGTGACAGTGTTAGTGACAGTGTTAGTGACAGGGCTAGTGTTAGTGACAATGTCAGTGTTAGTGACAGGGCTAGTGTTAGTGAGAGTGTTAGTAAGAGTGTTAGCGACAGGGCGAGTGTTAGTGTCAGTGTGACAGTGTTAGTGACAGTGCTAGTGACAGTGTTAGTGAGAGGGCTAGTGACGGTGTTAGTGAGAGTGTTAGTGACAGGGCTAGTGTTAGTGAGAGGGCGAGTATTAGTGACGGTGTTAGTGAGAGTGTTAGTGACAGGGCGAGTGTTAGTGAGAGGGCGAGTATTAGTGACGGTGTTAGTGAGTGTTAGTGACAGTGTTAGTGACAGGGCTAGTGTTAGTGACAGTGTTAGTGACAGTGTTAGTGACAGGGCGAGTGTTAGTGAGAGGGCTAGTGTTAGTGACAGTGTTAGTGAGAGTGTTAGTGACAGGGCTAGTGTTAGTGAGAGGGCGAGTATTAGTGACGGTGTTAGTGAGAGTGTTAGTGACAGGGCGAGTGTTAGTGAGAGGGCGAGTATTAGTGACGGTGTTAGTGAGAGTGTTAGTGACAGGGCGAGTGTTAGTGAGAGGGCTAGTGTTAGTGACAGTGTTAGTGACAGGGCGAGTGTTAGTGACAGGGCGAGTGTTAGTGACAGGGCGAGTGTTAGTGAGAGGGCGAGTATTAGTGACGGTGTTAGTGAGAGTGTTAGTGACAGGGCGAGTGTTAGTGAGAGGGTGAGTATTAGTGACGGTGTTAGTGAGAGTGTTAGTGACAGGGCGAGTGTTAGTGAGAGGGCTAGTGTTAGTGTCAGTGTTAGTGACAGTGTTAGTGACAGGGCTAGTGTTAGTGACTCTCTACTCACGACTCTCTATTAACGACTCTCACGACTCTCTACTCACGTCTCTCTACTCACGACTCTCTACTCACGTCTCTCTACTCACGTCTCTCACGTCTCTCTACTCACGACTCTCTACTCACGTCTCTCTACTCACATCTCTCTACTCACGACTCTCACGTCTCTCTACTCACGACTCTCTACTCACGTCTCTCACGTCTCTCTACTCACATCTCTCACGTCTCTCTACTCACGTCTCTCTACTCTCTACTCACGTCTCTCTACTCACGACTCTCTACTCACGACTCTCACGTCTCTCTACTCACGACTCTCAACTCACGTCTCTCTACTCACGTCTCTCTACTCACGTCTCTCACGTCTCTCTACTCACGTCTCTCTACTCACGTCTCTCACGTCTCTCTACTCACGTCTCTCTACTCACGTCTCTCTACTCACGACTCTCTACTCACGTCTCTCTACTCACGACTCTCTACTCACGACTCTCACATCTCTCTACTCACGTCCCTCTACTCACGACTCTCTACTCACGTCTCTCTACTCACGACTCTCTACTCACGTCTCTCTACTCACGTCTCTCACGTCTCTCTACTTACGTCTCTCACGACTCTCACGTCTCTCACGTCTCTCTACTCACGTCTCTCACGACTCTCACGTTTCTCTACTCACGTCTCTCACGTCTCTCTACTCACGTCTCTCTACTCACGTCTCTCACGACTCTCACGTCTCTCTACTCACGTCTCTCTACTCACGTCTCTCTACTCACGTCTCTCACGACTCTCTACTCACGTCTCTCTACTCACGTCTCTCACGACTCTCACGTCTCTCACGACTCTCACGACTCTCTACTCACGTCTCTCACGACTCTCACGTCTCTCTACTCACGTCTCTCACGACTCTCACGTCTCTCTACTCACGTCTCTCTACTTACGTCTCTCTACTCACGACTCTCTACTCACGTCTCTCTACTCACGTCTCTCATTCTCACGTCTCTCACGTCTCTCTACTCACTTCTCTCTACTCACGTCTCTCACGTCTCTCTACTCACGTCTCTCACGACTCTCTACTCACGTCTCTCTACTCACGTCTCTCTACTCACGTCTCTCACGACTCTCTACTCACGTCTCTACTCACAGTCGTGAGTAGAGACTTACGTCTCTCTACTCACGTCTCTCTACTCACGTCTCTCATTCTCACGTCTCTCACGTCTCTCTACTCACGTCTCTCACGACTCTCTACTCACGTCTCTCTACTCACGTCTCTCACGTCTCTCTACTCACGTCTCTCTACTCACGTCTCTCTACTCACGTCTCTCTACTCACGACTCACACGTCTCTCTACTCACGTCTCTCACGACTCTCACGTCTCTCTACTCACGACTCACACGTCTCTCTACTCACACGTCTCTCTACTCACGTCTCACACGTCTCTCTACTCACGACTCACACGTCTCTCTACTCACGTCTCTCACGTCTCTCTACTTACGTCTCTCACGACTCTCTACTCACGTCTCTCACGTCTCTCTACTCACGTCTCTCACGTCTCTCAACTCACGACTCTCTACTCACGACTCACACGTCTCTCTACTCTCTACTCACGACTCTCACGTCTCTCTACTCACGACTCACACGTCTCTCTACTCACGACTCTCACGTCTCACACGTCTCTCTACTCACGTCTCTCACGTCTCTCTACTCACGACTCACACGTCTCTCTACTCACGACTCTCTACTCACGACTCTCACGTCTCACACGTCTCTCTACTCACGACTCACACGTCTCTCTACTCACGTCTCTCTACTCACGACTCTCACGTCTCACACGTCTCTCTACTCACGTCTCTCTACTCACGACTCTCACGTCTCTCACGTCTCTCTACTCACGTCTGCGGCGCGGGCTCGGCGCTCACTCCTCCTGCTCCGCGGTGGAGGCGTTGGCGGCGTCTCCTCCAGTCCCCCCGGCGTGTCTCTCCTCGTCTCTGTCTCCCTCGTACGTCTCTCCTCGTCTCTGTCTCCCCCGGCGTGTCTCTCCTCGTCTCTGTCTCCCAGTGTCTCCCTGCCGGCGTGTCTCTCTCCCCGTCTCTCTTTCTCCCGTCTCTATCTCCCCGTGTCTCTCCCCGTCTCTCTCTCTCCCGTGTGTCTCTCCCCGTCTCTCTCTCCCGTGTGTCTCTCCCCGTGTCTCTCCCCCCGTGTCTCTCTCCCGTGTGTCTCCCCCCGTGTCTCTCTCACCCCGTGTCTCTCTCCCCCCGTGTCTCTCTCCCCCCGTGTCTCTCTCCTCCCGTGTCTCTCTCTCTCCCCGTGTCTCTCTCCCGTGTCTCTCTCCCCCCGTCTCTCTCCCGTGTGTCTCTCTCTCCCCGTGTCTCTCTCCCCGTGTCCCTCTCACCCCGTGTCTCTCCCCCCGTGTCTCTCTCCCCCCGTGTCTCTCTCCCCCCGTGTCTCTCTCACCCCGTGTCTCTCCCCTCGTGTCTCTCTCCCGTGCGTTTCTCCCCCCGCGTCTCTCTCCCCGTGTCTCTCTCCCCGTGTCTCTCTCCTCCCGTGTCTCTCTCACCCCGTGTCTCTCCCCCCGTGTCTCTCTCCCGTGCGTCTCTCCCCCCGCGTCTCTCCCCCCGTGTCTCTCTCCTCCCGTGTGTCTCTCCCCGTGTCTCTCTCCTCCCGTGTCTCTCTCCTCCCGTGTCTCTCTCCTCCCGTGTCTCTCTCCTCCCGTGTGTCTCTCTCCCCGTCTCTCTCCTCGTGTCTCTCTCCTCCCGTGTGTCTCTCCCCCCGTCTCTCTCCTCGTGTCTCTCTCCTCCCGTGTGTCTCTCTCCCCGTCTCTCTCCTCGTGTCTCTCTCCTCCCGTGTGTCTCTCCCCCCGTCTCTCTCCTCGTGTCTCTCTCCTCCCGTGTGTCTCTCTCCCCGTCTCTCTCCTCGTGTCTCTCTCCTCGTGTCTCTCTCCTCCCGTGTCTCTCTCCTCCCGTGTGTCTCTCCCCCCGTCTCTCTCCTCGTGTCTCTCTCCCCCTGTTCGCCTTCGTGGTCGCCGCGACGCCGAGCTGGAATGTTTGGCGCACGTGACGCATGCGCGGCCAATAGGCGGACCCGCGACGGAGTGACGTAGGGGCCGCGCGACGGTGGCGCCCCCCCCCCCTTGCTGGGACTCATCAGCGGGGCTGTAGCCACTTGCTGGGACTTATCAGCGGAGCTGTAGCCACTTGCTGGGACTCATCAGCGGGGCTGTAGCCGCTTGCTGGGACTCATCAGCGGGGCTGTAGCCGCTTGCTGGGACTCATCAGCGGGGCTGTAGCCGCTTGCTGGGACTCATCAGCGGGGCTGTAGCCGCTTGCTGGGACTCATCAGCGGGGCTGTAGCCGCTTGCTGGGACTCATCAGCGGGGCTGTAGCCGCTTGCTGGGACTCATCAGCGGGGCTGTAGCCGATTGCTGGGACTCATCAGAGGGGCTGTAGCCGATTGCTGGGAATCATCAGCGGGGCTGTAGCCACTTGCTGGGACTCATCAGCGGGGCTGTAGCCGCTTGCTGGGACTCATCAGAGGGGCTGTAGCCGCTTGCTGGGACTCATCAGCGGGGCTGTAGCCACTTGCTGGGACTCATCAGGGGGGCTGTAGCCGCTTGCTGGGACTCATCAGTGGGACTGTAGCCGCTTGCTGGGACTCATCAGCGGGGCTGTAACCGATTGCTGGGACTCATCAACGGGGCTGTAGCCGCTTGCTGGGACTCATCAGCGGGGCTGTAGCCGCTTGCTGGGACTCATCAGCGGGGCTGTAGCCGATTGCTGGGACTCATCAGAGGGGCTGTAGCCGATTGCTGGGAATCATCAGCGGGGCTGTAGCCACTTGCTGGGACTCATCAGCGGGGCTGTAGCCACTTGCTGGGACTCATCAGCGGGGCTGTAGCCGCTTGCTGGGACTCATCAGTGGGACTGTAGCCGCTTGTTTGGACTCATCAGCAGAGCTGTAGCCGCTTGCTCTGACTCATCAGCGGGGCTGTAGCCGCTTGCTGGGACTCATCAGCGGAGCTGTAGCCGCTTGCTCTGACTCATCAGCGGGGCTGTAGCCGCTTGCTGGGACTCATCAGTGGGACTGTAGCCGCTTGTTTGGACTCATCAGCGGAGCTGTAGCCGCTTGCTCTGACTCATCAGCGGGGCTGTAGCCGCTTGCTGGGACTCATCAGCGGGGCTGTAGCCGCTTGCTTGGACTCATCAGCGGGGCTGTAGCCGCTTGCTTGGACTCATCAGCGGGGCTGTAGCCGCTTGCTGGGACTCATTAGTGGGACTGTAGCCGCTTGTTTGGACTCATCAGCGGGACTGTAGCCGCTTGCTGGGACTCATCAGCGGGACTGTAGCCGCTTGTTTGGAGTGATCAGCGGGACTGTAGCCGCTTGCTGGGACTCATCAGCGGGACTGTAGCCGCTTGTTTGGAGTGATCAGCGAGGCTGTAGCCGCTACTGCCAACTAAGAGCTGCGTAGCTGAACACGCTGTTACTGCTGCTGCTGCAATCACTCCCAATGGCACAATTACCAAACCAGCTTACACGCGTAGTCGTTACCACTAGCGTTGCTACTAACATCCGCGAACATGAATACCGTATGATTATTTTATTACGATTGCGGCAAGAGCCCGGTTTACGTGGGGGATGCGTTCCTGTAAAGGTGCGACGACGAATATCGAAACGAGGTGAGACCAAAAGCGTCTTTACAGGGTTGGTAGCGGTGGGTGGTGGAGGAGGAGGAGGCGAAGGCTGAGAGGCGACGGATAACGAGGAAGGAACGGACGGCGTTGACGCTGACAGCGACGTGAGCGTGGAGGTTGAGGCGACGCAAATCACGTGGCGGTGCTAATCATGAAGTGACGACGTATTTGCGGAGCGACTTAAATCGGGGAATTGCTGTACAAATTCACAGACCCCCCCCCCCCCCCATTGTTCAGACCTAAATCCCCCTGTATCTTACAGCAATGCGCAATCCAATGATCGAACAAGGTCTCCCCACGCCGTGTTGTTTGACCATAACTTCACCGCGCTGGTCAGTGTAAGTCGAAAATCGCTTCGGGATTTGCTTGCTTAAACAAAATGCTGCTGTTGGAAAATACTGGCACTGTATGTGAATGCAATAAATCGGGAGGGATGTTTTTCTTCTTCTGTAATCACGCTTTCTGAACACAGCCTTAGAGGCCTAAAGTGCCAAGACGGCCAGTGACAAACAGCGTCATGAAAGATGCAACGAGTCGGTACGTAAATCGGGGTGTTGCTGTTTGTCCGCTTGTTTTACCCTGGAAGGCATCACCGAGTCTTGAGGCCCTTCCCCAGGAGGGTCCTGCCAAGTTTCCGATGGACGAGAAGGGGAGAGGGGGGTGGGCGATGTTTGTCGTGTGGATTCCCAATTGAGTAACTTTCGGGTAAGTTTAAAATTTGGTACCATAACGCCCGGCACACGATGGCCAACTCATTTCGAATAACGGGGGATCTTTAACGTCCAACTGTAAAGCAGACAGACACTTATTTCGCATGGTTAATAAACCCGCAGTGATAACCAGGCCAGCCGCTGGATTCAAACCGGTAACCTCTAGAAACGAGCGGTGAATGCGAACCGCTAGGCCACGTCACAGCCCAACAATTGCACTGTACTGTATCGCTGTCCCCAGGAACAGTCTAATAATATAGCTAAAGCCGTTAATGTGTTTACTATTTGGGTGCCACGGTAGCAAATTGTTAACTAGCTCGCTTGGTATACTGGAGGTTGTGGATTTGATCCTAACCCTGACGCCTGCTGTATATTTGGAGTTTGCATGTCTCTCTCTCTCTCCCCGTGATCACGTGGATTTTTCTCTGGACCTTCCTGTTTTTCTCTCCACATTTAGAAACATGCGTTGAGAGTATTTGGCTGATATACATTTCCACACGATAAGCACACGTCGTTGAGCTATCATTTGTGGCCAGGTTGCTTCTGAAAAAGACCTACGTAGCTCAGTGAGTCTTACCTGGTGAAATAATAAATAGTTTAGTTTTTTTAAAATAATGAATTCAAAGCGTCTACAAATGTTGTTATTGGACTTTTCTGACAGCATGGATGGTGGGGTATAGGCGTAAGACAAGGATGTTATGGTGTCATTTTGTCCAGTTTGTAGTGCTATGTATGTATGTTGAACTTCTTTCGCACCATACGTATCCAACCATTCTTTTAACCGAGAGCTGATGAGAGCAGCACTTGTCTACAAGGTGACTTGAGATGGAAAAAAGCCATGTCAACATTACACCTCCCAAATTATTATTTTCTCCACAGATACCTGCTTCAAGTTCCTCTACTAATTGTATGATCCCATCGCTATCGTGTGTCGTGGTGCAATCCTTCCCCTCTGGGTTATCATTTTAACACTGCTCTGCAAAGTAACACAAAGGCACGATCTCCTGAATATGATGATATAGCTGTGGACATGAAAGAATCAGAACCAGTTGTTGGGAAAAAAAAACATATTCGACTTCTTTCCTAAATGCTTATACATAAATGAAAATGCCTCAATCGTGGAAGGCTGCGTCAACCTTTCTGTACAAAAAGAGTGAAGGCTAAGATACACATTCGCTGCCTATCGCTTGCATGTAAATTGTTCATGAAGATGACCGCCAACAGAAGAATGTACATTTGAGAGGCCCAACTGTTCACGCAAGCAAGCCGAGTTTAGCAAGGGTGTATATCCCATCAATAACAATCAATTAATCTGCGCATCGTGACACCTCCAGTATGTGACACCTCCCGCACCTTACAATTAGCACGGTTGGCTAAGTAAGGTGCGAAAAACGTTCAACATATATGCCTACGCGTATATGACTGATATCGCTGTCATGGCACACGCGTTCGCGTGTGCACAAACAGACAGCCCTCGCCTGCCCGAGCAGGCTGGAGGAAACGTCCGTGCCAAGTTGTCGCTGTGGTTTTGGGCCAGCCGCGCTCACGTTAACATTTTCAAATAAAACAAGACGCTCTGTGTGGTCGTTTATGGTCCCCCTGGGCTGTGCACCCTGACCACCCGCTCAGGAAGACCTTCCCCGTGTTTTCTTTCCATCGCATTTGGCACACTCA